AAAAAAAAAAAAAAAAAAACAAAAAAAAAAAACAAGAACCTAAATAAATCTGCTACAGCTCTTACCTATATATGCCCCCCTCCTCTTTTTTTTTCTCTCTCTATATATATACATACAGATACAGACATCTAATTATATGCTATTGTTCAAAATGTTTAGAGATAGCTTTATAAAAAGCATCCTTTTATAGACTTGAGTCACCCAGTGAACTTCAAAAGGGCATTCACTAGATTTACTTTTACGGTCCATTTATTTAAAAGCAATGTAAATTATATGTTCACAATGCTATATGTTCTCTATGAATTTTTTGTTGATTCTTTTCTTTTTGATCTACATTATATACAGCAAATATTGAATCTTTTTATATATATTTTGAATATTGTCTTAAGTCACAGATAAAATAATTAACATAAATATTTTAACTACTGCATAAAGTTATCCAGTTCACTGGAGCTTTGAAAATATCATTTTAGGCCGGGCGCGGTGGCTCAAGCCTGTAATCCCAGCACTTTGGGAGGCCGAGACGGGCGGATCACGAGGTCAGGAGATCGAGACATCCTGGCTAACACGGTGAAACCCCGTCTCTACTAAAAAATACAAAAAACTAGCCGGGCGAGGTGGCGGGCACCTGTAGTCCCAGCTACTTGGGAGGCTGAGGCAGGAGAATGGCGTAAACCCGGGAGGCGGAGCTTGCAGTGAGCTGAGATCCGGCCACTGCACTCCAGCCTGGGCGACAGAGCGAGACTCCGTCTCAAAAAAAAAAAAAAAAAAAAAAAAAATATCATTTTAAAAGAGTTCTAAGATGTTATGTAAAATAAATTTTAAGTAGATGTAGAGTGTCTTATTTGTAGCATGTATACATATACACACAAAGCACAAAGTAAGACTAATTTGTCTTTACTAAACGCTTTTTGTACCTAAAAGCTAACTCAACTGCTAGTATTAGACAGCACCACAATGAGTGATAAGTTCGTAAGTTACACTTGCACTTTCTCAAAAAAGGCAGACATATCAATATGGAAAAACTGAATAACCTTTCTAAAACTTTCATTCATCATATGCATAAGACATAACACTCACACACGAGAGAAAATAAAATGCAAAGGGTGAGGTAAATTTCCTTCAGTGACAATGACAACATACAGAAGTACAACAGGTCACATCAGTGTGGATTAAGCAACTATTTAAGAAAATATTTTTTCCTAAATTAATAGGTAACCTTTCTTGTTGGCCTACCAGAATGACTAAAAGAATAAAACATTGGATTAATGTCATAAGCACATTTTAAATCATGCAAATTCAATTAAATGTATTCAGAAAAAAAGATGCATGTATATATTTTTTAGAACCCACCCAAGTATCACTTGAGTACTAAATCACCCAGATTGAATACATTTTAACATCTGCCAATTTTGCATGAGATTTTCTTTTTAACCCACATTTATTCTATGAAATCTTTCATATAAACAGTTGGAAAGACTACTAAAATGAACATCTATATACCATGCCTTCCATCAAGAATCAATAACTGTTACGATTTTGCCACTGGTGCTTCACCTCTGAGACAATTTAAATATTAAAAGCAACTCTGCTCACTATGTCCCTTAATGAGATTAGGGCTCAGAATAAGCATGATATGGAGATGGGAATGTGTTCTTCACTTAGTCAATCTCATTTCCTGCATGCTGCTCAAAGCACACGCTTTTCACAAATCTGAGTGGAACTCTGGATTTTTTAAAGTATGCAATTTAAAATACTGTACGATTATGTTCACATATATTATATACTATTATACATTACATTATACTTTATATACTACTATATATATAATACACTACTACATACATTATACATACATTTTGTACAGGTTTCACAAAACCATATATACTACAATAGAGTTTCAATGGTAATTTCAACTATGCAATTGTCACCTTCAGAACACATTCAAATCAGCATTAGGTGGACATGCACTATAAAACTCACTGTAATCAAGACTATAACTACAGTTACATATGGCAGAAATAAAAACTCATGCCAACCAGAAAAGCAATTTGACATGTTCCTTAAAACCATTCAGCTTGGTGTCCTAAGAGTTCTACTTCTAAGTATTGCGTCTAAGTACATAGGACAAATACGCCCCAACAATGTTTATAGTATCAAAAACTGTAATTTTCAACAATACCAGGCTGCTTCTGTAAACTATGGTATATCCACTGAATGAAATACTCAGAAGCAAATAAAAATGAATGTATCAATTAAAAACACATGTATGTATACAATACATACACATAATTATAAACACATACATTTGCTAAATATAAAAGGATGTTCACTGTAAATTTTAAGAAAAATAACTAAAATAGATTTAAATTTTCTGATAATTAAACAAATATAAAATTATAAATATGTGGAAATAAACTTGGGAAACATATATACTAAAATGTTAAAAGGAGTGACGCAGAAGAGTGGGAATACTGTAAGTAACCATTTTTTTCTCTTTTTGCTTAGTACATTCCTTGATTTATACAATGATCATCTGTTCAAACTATGACATAAGACATTTTAAGACTAAATATTTTTATATATTATACTTAAGATTATTCAAAATTTAATACTCGTCATTATCAATAATATCTTTCTGAACTTCTCCAAGTGACTTTTTATATCTTGAGATCACCTCATTAAAAAGCAAAAATGAGTAATGAGCTATAATCTGCTTCTCTCGAGGTTTAGTTTGATGTGGTATTTGAGCTTTGATAACCACTATAGCAGCTATTAGGAATATTTAAAATCAATGGGGATAGAGGGAGCATTTCTTTCATCTTAACTAATTTAAAGAACTACACTTAACGCATGTACTTAATCATTTTCCTTTCTCATTGAGTCCAGAATTTAACATACCAGTCAGATTCAATTTAGGAATAGGCAACGGCTCTGTGGGAACAGGATGGTACGAAAACAAGGTAAACATTCCTCGTCCTACAGGAAGAGCCATAGTTCGCTGACACAATTGGAGCAATCTGTAATTAAAGTAAAAACCAACATGTGAAAATTTTTACAGCAAAGCACAATGGAAATATCATCTGTAAATATTTCAAAAGGTATTCTATGTAAGATGAAGTTGTCTCAAACTAAATTCATACAAAGATGTGAGTGAACCACCCAAACATGATTATTTTCATTTTAATATTCTTGTTCCTATTACACTCTTAGGGACAGACATATTTCCTTTGTTTTGTTTCATATTTACATTGAATGAAAACCACCTGGCCTATAAACCAAGCCAACTGTCTCTAGGCATTCAAAAAAAAAGAAATTTAAAATTCCACTCCAACGGATGCTAACCTTCTCAAAGGAAAATACAGTACTTTTGGGGTTTTTTATCACTGTGTTAATTTCAGTCTAGCTGTCCTCAGTACATGTGGGATCCTCCTCCCATCCCTTTTTGCCAATACAGCCTCAGAAGTGCCATTTCTGTGGCCTGTACACAAGAAAAGAAACAAGGTCCCTATATTAGAGGTGAATGGATTTCATGATGGCTCCACAGGAAATACAGACTGGTTTCACTTACATGATGACTAGATTTATAGGACTAATACCATTATATATCAGGTATGTTCAAGGTTAAAATGGTTTCTGTGGGCTCTACTGTGAAATTAATATACAACTCTTCAACTTGTTCCTATGTTAAAACAGCTTAACATTCCATATAGCTACTTAAAAAAAACTAACAGAAATTTTGGAAGTAGGGCATTTATAACTAAGAAATGCTTACACAAGTTATATCTGAAGACACAGAAACATCCCTTTAGAGGCTGACAAGTGACGAACATCTTCTCTGCAGACAAAGCTATTCATAACCATACTTCCTCCTTAACCGGACACACATAACTGCTTTTCTAGCTAACTGGAAAGAAAACTTTTTCTGTCTTAAAGATTCTCTGGGAACACAACCGCCACATTAATTTGGGATCAGGAAAATTCAAAACCAAGAGGCTGCTGCAGCCCATAGAATTTTTTTAGAGGAAATCGTATACATAATTCACTTCAACTTTGCAGAAGTAACACAATTATAATGAGAACAATATTATATCCCCTGAATATAAGATGCCACTGATAAGATGTATCATTATTTCATGAGATACTAAGAAAAAGCACTGCCAATTAAAGCATTACACCTATTCACTGAAATACACATCTGATTTCAGAGATATTAAAAAGTGAAAAAATTTGCATCTTAGAATCAATGCACTCTACTACTAATACTGGCTGACTGCACTGAGCTCTACTATGTACTGGGCAGTATTCTAAGTGCTATGTAAAAATAATTCACTTGATACATAGCACCATCCCATGAGGAATGCCTATTTTTACAGATGAGGCAACTGAGGCAACAAGAGGTAAAGTAACTTAACCAAAGTCACCCAGCACAGCATGGCCACGCCTGGCTCTAGAGGTCATGCTCATAAATCCTAGCTCTAAACTCAAGTCACTCCATCTCCTTATTCACAGGCGACTAATAACTGGGGACATGTGGGGAAGAAACAGTTGATAGGGAAATCACAACTAATTCAGATCTTCAGCAGCCTGTGGCTGAATGTGGGTGACCCTTCCCCTCAAAGCAGTACCATAAAAAAAGTAAGGAGAACTAGAAAACAGTGGCAGATGAATGACAGACAATAGACACAAGCAGATAAAAGAACAGGAGAGAATTTTAAAATAGAAGTGTCCCAAGAGAATAGCTCTGGAATGGCACAGGCATGTGATGTCGTTTACCACTGAGTCTTAAAATGTATCAAGGGATGTATCCTGTGCAGGGGAGTGGCAGAAGAAGGCTTATCTAGTTTGCTTTATCTATTTATTTGGAGTATTATCTATCATATCAAAAAAAAAAATACTGATGTAAGTTTAAACTACACTAAAAACCCCACTAACCTCAAAATTTATTCCTGACCAAGACACAGAAAAACAAGGCCAGTGTTTTCTTTGTTTGTAAATTCTTAAGGGAACTACCAGGCAAAATGGTTTTACATTCACCTTTTCTAAAGAGTAAATTGTTATACGTATTTCAAGAGGAGGAAGATCTGAAATATAACCATTATGTCCTCAAAAGCCAAAGATATTTTGCTAACACACGTGGTTTGTTGAAGTCGGATGAAAGCTTAAAACAGAGGGCACATTTTAACTTGAAAGTATCTTTTAAATCTCTTTAGGGTTTTAAATGCTAAAAACTTGAAGGAAAAACAAATATAAACAAGACCCAAATGTAACAATAAAACATGACAAGAGATAGTGCACAGTGTTTTCTTTCACCTGTTTTCCTTTTCTTCAATGAACTCGTGGTCGCTGAGCTCCGGGTACTGCACTACGTTGACGCGGACAGGATGCGCACTCTGAAGAAGCCTTCGCACATCCTGTACCCTTAAATCTTCACTCCATATTAATGACATGACCTCGTGATTCATGTCATTCATCCCGTCATCTTCCTCCTCAGTTTCTGTTCCTGAAGGAACATCTGATGAGAGCACCTGAGTAACAGACTTTATTGTAATAATAATTTAAAAAGCAGTCAACAAGCACTTACTGAACACGAAAAAACAGAGACTGATGTTCCATGACTACAGTAAGCACAGAGAAAATACGTTTTCCAAAGCAGGGATGGGTTGGGGCTGCAATATATACCAGGACTCGACTCTACAAATCTTTTTAAAAAGTACTATATTGCTGGCTCACGCCTGTAATCCCAGCACTTTGGGAGGCCGAGGCAGGCGGATCATCTGAGGTCAGGAGTTCCAGAGCAGCCTGGCCAACACAGTGAAACCTGGTCTCTGCTGAAAATACAAAAATTAGCTTGCCAGATGCAGTGGCGCACTCCTGTAGTCCCAGTTACTGGGGAAGCTGAGGTTGAAGAATCACTTGAACACGGGAGGCAGAGGTTGCAGTGAACCGAGATCACGCCACTGTACTCCAGCCTGGGTGACAGAGTGAGACTCTGTCTCAAACAAACAAACAAAAATCAAAACAAACAAACAAAAGTACTATATTCCCTACTTAGAAATATTTGCTACGTGAAATGAGGGGGAAAATTTAAATTTAGGACAACAGTCAAGAGGCTGGACACAAGCAGAGAAATATTCTGAATAAACTATAAAAAAAACTACATCCTGATCATTTTAAAAAAGAAACAAATTATTGCAAGTAGAGTGTGAATACTAGTCACTGCTAATAATGCTAATTTAAATACTGTCTGTTCATTAATAGAAGGAGAAGGAAAAAAACCTGAAAGGATATACACCAAGGGTTGGGGGAAGTCACACAATAAAATACTTTCTTACTTTACACTTAAATAGATAGGATCATGGTTGGACTTCATTATTTTTTCTTTTTCTTTTTTTTTTTTTTTTTTTGAGACAGGGTCTTACTCTGTCACTCAGGCCGGAAGTGCAGTGGTGGGATCATGGCTCCCTGCAACCTCCACCTCTTGGGCTCAAGCGATCTTTCCCCCTTAGCCTCCCGAGTAGCTGGGACTACGTATGTGTACCACCCATCCAGATTAATTTTTTTTGTTTTTTGTAGAGACAGAGTCTTGCCCTGTTGACCAGGCTGGTCTTGAACTCCTGACCTCAAGGAGATCCACCCATCTCAGCCTCCCAAACAGCTAGGACTATAGGCACATACCACCACACCTGGCTAAATTTTTTTTAAAAATTGTTTAAGTAGAGATGAGGTCTCACTATGTTGCCTAGGCTGGTCACAAACTCCTGGGCTCAAGCAGTCCTCCACCTTGGCCACCCCAAAGTGCTGAGATCACAGGCACGAGCCACCTCACCAAGCCAGTTTTCATTATTTTTTTAAAATGTGTTTCCAATAAAAATTTCTTAGAAGGAAAAGTACTGAACTGCAGCAAAACAAGTAAGAGGGTAAATTCCTTGACTGTCATCATGTTCTCATAAGCCCAGCATGTGCTTTAATATGGCGCTTCCCAGTCCAAATAATTAAACCTAACTGCAACACAGATGTGAACTGCATGGAATCATATCATATTCCCTCAAAAACAGTATTATACTCTTTTAACAAAAGATTAACTCCGAGTTGAAATGTTAAAGTTTTGCAACATTTAATATGAAAACAACAAGGTTAGCATGAAAAAAAAAAAAAAAGTAGATATGACCAAATAATCACTTTTAGTTCCTAAAAATTCATTTTGGTTCCTATAAAATATCTAATTTTAAAAAAACTATATTCTAATGGGTGAGTTAGCTATAAAATACAGTCTCAAATAGTGACAAAATAAATTTAGATGGGATTAGTTATAAAATGTAGCCTCAAATAACTGAACAAACTGTATTTAGACAGAATTACTTAAGATGACATTCAAATACAGATTAATGTTTTCATGCTAATGGTGCTGAACTGCTCTCTCTCACAGGAAAGCCATATTATAAGCAAAAAGATTTGTTTTCTGTTTAAAACAGGATATAAATACTAATTCAACAAACAGCTGTGATTGAGACGCAGATTAAGGGAGAGATGCACTGGGATGACCCTGCTGGAGAATCAGATGCCCATGGAAACTGACTCCAGCATGGGTACTCATTAGGCAACTGTGAGGTTAGGAATAAGTTTTGATATAGGCTCTGAAGAAGCAGTAATAAGACCTAAGGTGACTCATAGTTACAATGTACTGATTATTATGTATTGATTCAAAAGCTACTAAGAGGTAAGGCCAAATTCCCACACTGTCTTCTCACGGACATGAACATAAAAGAGTCACCAGGAGTGGAATTATTATTCCTGAATCTTCCTTGATGAGATTCTACTGTTTATTTTTTAAAGTTACCTAGAATTCTAGAATAAGTTTTAAAAGTTTCCTTTTCAACTTTTAAGAGAGGATGACTTAAAAAGATAATTGGAGAGTAATGAAATAATTTTACTTTCTACTTGCAGGATTCCTAGAATGCATTTTAAAAAAAAAACAAACTTGAAGATTGATGAAAGACAGTATTTTAGGAGGGATAGCTTAAGACATCTTTTTAAACAATTCTAGTGAAAAAAACACATGTTTTCCCTGGGGCTACAGTTTTATGTGATTAAACAAGTATGTTTACACCTATTTAAAAGGTTAAATTCAAAAAATTCAACACATCAAAAAATACGCAGTAGAAAATATTTATATATAATTACCCATCCAAATTCAGGATATATGTGCTCTCCCTTTTCCTATGTAATAATTACAAAGTGGTTAGTTACTAATGTGGTACAAGTAGGGAAACAGCCATGGTAGTCTCCACGACTACACTCAGGACTTGTCCTGACTCAAGGCAAAGAAAGATCCAGGCACAAGATAGAACATTCACAAAATCTCCTGCTCCTATGCTCAACTTACAATTAATAAGATGCGTACAATTAGAAACCCCATATGGCATATAATATAAAAGACAAGCTGATATATATACTTAGAAAAAGCCTTAAAGGAAAATGAAGAACATTTCTACTTTATGATTTTATTTAAGGCTAAAATTGGAACTCTGAACTTTCCATGTTGATACTCACAGACTTCCCTTTGGGTAAGTTTCCTTCGCAGGCCTGCTTGGAAAGATCCTGACGTCCAATCAAGAGACAGACAGCTTCTGGCCAGTCTGAGGCAGGCTGCTCACGACAGTGATAAATTGCGTCTCTGATGGGAAGAGCAATTCCAAAGGGAAGGGTTTCCAAATCTCTTAAAGTGAATCCTTTATAGTTAAAGGAAAGGAGAAAAAATTTTAATTTAGATTTGCCACTACCACAATTATCCTGACTGAAGTTGGCAACAATATCTATCCTGACAAATAAATTCATTTTATTCATCTTACTACCAGACTAATGTCTTGACATCAGGGATTAGTATAAGCAGCCTCTTTGAAAGAACTTGTGAAAACCTAAAGAAAAAAAGACAATCTAATAGAAAAATACAAAGGACAAAAAGACATTTCCTAGAAAGGGAAACATAAATGGGCAAAATGCATATGAAAAGATGCTCTACCTAATTAGTGATCAGGAAAATGCAAATTAAAGCCACTGAGAAATATAAATGTCAAAGCCAATCAATACCAAGTGTTGGCAACTATGTAGAGCAACAATAATTCTTTTTTCTCTTTTTTTTTTTTTTGAGATGGAGTCTCGCTCTGTCACCCAGGCTGGAAGTGCAGTGGCGCAATCTCAGGCTCACTGCAAGCTTCGCCTCCTGGGTTCACGCCATTCTCCTGCCTCAGCCTCCTGAGTAGCTGGGACTACAGGTGGCCACCACCGCATCCGGCTAATTTTTTTGTATGTTTTTAGTAGAGAGAGGGTTTCACCGTGTTAGCCAGGATGGTCTCGAGCTCCTGACCGCGTGATCCACCTGCCTCGGCCTCCCAAAGTACTGGGATTATAGGTGTGAGCCACCGCACCTGGCCCAAACAACAATAATTCCTATAAATAGTCAACGGTAGTGTAAACTGGTACAACCACTTTGGAAAACAGTTGATATGTATAGGTAGGTCCACCCATTTGATCTGTCAACAGCCATACAGAAATTTATACCCATGTACACTAAGACACAGGTATGAAAATATTCATTAGCAATACTGTTTTGTTACAGAAAAAAAAAAGAGATGGAGAAAGGGGCGAGTCCCATTGTCTATCATCAATAGAATGGGTAATTAAATTGTGATATGTTCCAACAAAGTAATCTATATATCAGAGAAAATGAATGACCCACTGCTACTGCTACATGAGTCAACATAGATGACTCTTTAAAAGATAAAGTTGAGTGAAGAAAAAGGAACATATATTTCCATCTATGTATGTTCAAAACTACATAAAACCTAGCAACTTATAAAGACGTAAAACTATAAAAAAAAACAAAAGTAAGGTAACACAAAATGTAGGTAGTGCAGTGGTTCCCTATAATATTGGGGTATGTGACAGGAGGGGAACATCCAAGAACAGATATGTAAGGACCTTCTACTATGTGGGTAATGTCCTCTTTCTAGAGGTGGGTGACCAGTACATCAATACTCACTTTTGTACCATTCTCTAAAACAAACATATACGTCTGACATATTATTTTGTAAGTACACCATATTTCATATTTAAAATTTTTTTATCCTCAGGTTAATTAAATCATGTTTTTCTTATAATGACTTTCTAAATTTTATAATATTATGCATTATAATTTAAAAAGTTGATTAACTATTGAGGCAAAAAATGTTCCTTATATGAGAATAACACTTATTAAATATTATGCAATATACAAATGGAGAGAACTCATCCAGTATTTTTCAGCATAGGTATCCTGTATGTACAGTATGCAACAGTTATTGTCATTCTTAAGGTGAAATGAAAGAAAAAAAAAAAACCTGTCAGAAACGTCATTTAGAACATACTTAAGACTTCAAAAAACATCTTTTAATATTCATTAAAACTTTACTTTTTAACATACATCCTATATAGCATCCTCATTTTTAAAATCATGTCTTTGTGGCAGTAATTTTTAATTGTGTTTTTCAGTTCCTTGTGAAAAAGAATTTTTTTGGGATTTTACTTAATTTAAAACCGAGGAGCATAGGTTTGGGGAATAGGGAATATAGAACTCTTTTCCTCCCTCTTCCTCTTCCCACTTTAATGGTCATCCTGGTGCCTGAAATCCCTTCAAAAGTGCATTTATCCTTCAAAAGTATACCCTGAAATGTATATATTATTAGACTTTGCCAAAACCACCCATTTCTGATATCTGAGTATCACAATGATTTCAGGTGTGTATGTAGGGTGATTAGAGTTCTCCATTCTCAGAGACCGGCTTACATAGCCACCGCCTCAAATGGTCCAATGTAATGGCAAATAAAGATACCTTATGCACCAAGATAAAAAGCTGGTATCCCAAATATTATTATATGGAACTTCTGAGATTGTCGAGAAAAAAAGAATATGGCTTGAAGAACCATAATCTCAACCTTGTGAGGCCTTTTCACAAAGCCAGAGCTCCTCTCTCCTCATGCCTTCCAGTTCTAGCTAGTCTGGAGGAAGCAGAGCCTAGTTAGGAGGTAACAAAGAAGCTCTTACCTACATTAGTCATCCAGACAACCAATCTTTCAGCTAGACTAGAAACGGACGTAGAATGCCTGAAACTAAACCTATAAGAGAATAAAACATAAAGTTATTAAGCAGAACAGTAAATAATATTGTTTTAAGTGTTTGACATAAAAGCACAGTCTAAATAAAAGTCACCTGTTTTCCTCTTGTTCTACTTGCAACTTCTGGGGGGCTAAAAGGCAACAAAATGAAACTTAATTTTGATAGTCATCCTGGTAAAGAAAACATGTAACATGCAGAAGACATTTGAAAATAAGAATCCATTAGCAAACAACATCTAAAAAAATAATAAAATAAGCAATACTATGGCAGGCTGAAAACTACAGTCAAGGCCTTCAGAATACTCAGGGGACTGGCTAGGACATGCTATGTGTACCCAAATCCATGCATGCTCAAGTCCTGCAATAGGCCCTGCGGAACCTGCATATGGGTTTCACATCAGAGAATACTGCATTTTCTATCTGCATTTGGCAGAAAAGAATTTCATTGTAAGTGGACTCACACAGTTCAAACTCATGTTGTTCAAGAGTCAATGGTATAATAATTTCCTTGAGGCTAAAATAGGCCTTTTTACCCACACTGAAAATACAAGATGTGTTAGATTTTTAAGTAATCCTGATACCTGAAAATCAGCTGTGGACAACAGACCACAACAGACCAGAACAGTACTAAAAACGTAAGACATGGCTGCTAAAGCAAACAAGAAAAATTCAATTCTTTCTTCAATTCTGATATTGACATTTACAAAAATTTGTTTCCAAAGGCCTAACATTACACCAACTTACCTATAGTTATTCTGGTTAAATACTGTGAGGATTCATCAGAAACCGAGCTCTCATCACCAAGTATGTACAGCGCAATACTCTGAAAAAGAAGAAAATTAACATTATTTTTCTCTTTTCAGTGACAGCATCTCACTTTGTCACCCAGGCTGGAGTGCAGTGACACAATCAGAGCTCACTGCAGCCTCAAATTCCTTGACTCAAGCAATCCTCCTGCCTTAGCCTCCAGAGTAGCTAGGACTACAGGCATGCACCACTATGCCCAGCTAATTTTTTTATTTATTATTTTTATTTTTTGTAAAGACGGAGTCTCATTGTGTTGCCCAGGCTGGGCTCAAACTCATGACCTGGAGCAATCCTTCTGCCTCAGCCTCCCATATATACATATACAAGTGACTCAATAGAAAAGAGCCACCATAAGCTAGAAGGTTACTACAAATGTCTCATTAGCTAAACATCACATAAAAAAAAAATTTATCACTTGAGGTCAGGAGTTCAAGACCAGCCTGGGCAACATGGCAAAACCCCATCTCTACTAAAAATACAAAAATTAGCCAGGTGTGATGGTATGCACCTGCGGTACCAGTTACTCAGGAGGCTGAGGTGGAAGGATTGCTTAAGCCCAGGGAGGCTGAGGCTGCAGTGAGCCATGATTGCGTCACTGTACTCTAGCCTGGGTGACAGAATAAGATCTTGCCTAGGGGGAAAAAAAAAATAAAGTCCAATAAAACATATAATGATGAAAATAAAAACCTATCAACAAGGGCTTCTGTTGATATTTTCAGAATATTTTTATAAATAAAAATAAATTCGGCCGGGCATGGTGGCTCACGCCTGTAATCCCAGCACTTTGGGAGGCTGAGGTGGGCACATCACGAGGTCAGGAGATCGAGCCCATCCTGGCTAACACGGTGAAACCCCGTCTCTACTAAAAATACAAAAAATTAGCCGGGCACCTGTAATCTCAGCTACTCGGGAGGCTGAGGCAAGAGAATGGCATGAACCTGGGGGGCGGGGCTTGCAGTGAGCGGAGATTGTGCCACTGCATTCCAGCCTGGGCAACAGTGCAATACTCCATTTCCAAAAAAAAAAAAAAAAAACAGAAGTTAAAAAAATAAAAATAAAAAAGTTCATATTTTTATAAATAGTTATTTTCATAAATAAAATAAATTCATATTTTTATAAATAGATCTCTGAGCTGACAAGTTATAAAGGAATACCAAGAGGATAAAACTAAGATGAAAGGCCAGAGAGATAAACTGAGTACTCATGCCAGTTTTACAGAAAAGACATTCAGAGAAAAACCTACAGAATGGGAGAAAGTATTTGCAAATTATGTATCTGATACATTAATATCCAGAGCATAAAAATGCCTAAACTCAAAAATAAAAATCCAATTTTCAAATATACAAAAGATTTGCATAGATATTTCTTCAAAGAAGATACATAAATGGCCAATAAACACATGAAAATATGTTCAACATCACTAATCATTAAGGATGCAAATCAAAACGAGATATCACTTCATAAATACTAGGATGGCTATAATTTTTAAAAAACAAATAGGAAATAATAGTATGTGTTGGCAAGACTGTGGAGAAACTGGAACCCTTCCTCTTGCATTACTGGTAAGGATGTAAAACGGTATAGCCACTACGAAAATGAGTCTAGCAGTTCCTCAAAAAGTTAAACATCAAACTACCTACCATATGACCCAGCAATTCCACCACCCAGTATATATTAAAAAGAATTGAAAGCAGAGACTTGAACAGATATTTGCACACCCATGGTTCACAGCAGCACTATTCATAATAGCCAAAAAGTGGAAACAACCCAAGTGTCCATCATCAGATAAAATGATACATTGTGGTGTATCCATACAATGGAGTAGTATATAGAATACTGCCTTTAAAACAATGTAATTTTGATAGATGCTACAATATGGATGAACATTGAAAACATTATGCTAACTGAAATAAGCCAGACACAGAGAGACAAACACTGTATGATTCCCATAATACGAGGTACTTACAAGAGACAAATTCATGAGAAACAGAACAGAATTACTAGCGCCTGGGAGGAAGGGGAATGGGGAGTCACTGTCTAATAGGTACAGAATTTATGTTGCGGATGATGAAAAAGTCTTGGGTATGGACAGTGGTGATGGCTACATAACAATGTGAATGTATTCAATGCCACTGGATTGTATACTCAAAAATAATTTCAGGCCAGGCACAATGGCTCATGCCTGTAACTCCTGCACTTTGGGAGGCCAAGGTGGGCAGATCACCTGAGGTCAGGAGTTCAAGACCAGCCTGGCCAACATGGTGAACCCCCATCTCTACTAAAAATACAAAAACTAGCCAGACTTGGTGACTCACGCCTGTAATTCCAGCTACTCGGGAGGCTGAGGCAGGAGAATCGCTTGACCCTGAGCAGCGCAGGTTGCAGTGAGCCGAGATTGTGCCACTGCACTCCAGTGTGGGCAACGGAGTGACTCCGTCTCAAAACATAATAATAACAATTTCAACAACAAATATTACGTTATATATATTTTGCTACCATTAAAAAAAATCTGTGTTTTTTAAACAGAACCACCATTCTGTATGTCTGTTTTGGAGCCATCCGGGAGACTCTGAAGTGCTTCTCACCATGAAGCAGAGCAAAACGTAAAGAAAAAGAAGGGCAGGGGGCAAAGACATTTACAGTCTGCCAACATTTGAGAGAAGGGACAAAAGCATGTGGTTCTCCTGCAAGCCTGGGAAGATTCCACCTAGAAAGGCCCACAATGGGGCCTATGAGCAGGCTGCTCCACGATGGGGGGACTGAGGAACAGGTATGCCAAGAAACTTTCCTTACCTGCTGTTACAGTCCTTTGGTTCTATATGAAGGTTTGATCTTGGACATGTATTAACCAGTAACAACAAACTAATTTCTAAAAATAAATAATTAATGAGATTTACAGCTCAAAGTAAACAAAAAATAATTAAAATAAATAAAGATGTGTTTCTTTGAAAAAAATTTCAGCAGGATTTTTTTTGTAGCTATAGACAAGCTGATTATAAAAGCAGTATGGGTCAGACGCGGTGGCTCACACCTGTAATCCCAGCACTTTGGGAGGCTGAGCCAGGCGGATCACTTGAGGTTGAAAGTTCAAGACCAGCCTGGACAATATGGTGAAACCCTGTCTCTACTAAAAACACAAAAAATTAGTCAGGCGTGGTGGCGGGATCCTGTAATCCCAGCTATTTGGGAGGCTGAGGCAGGAGAATTGCTGGAACCTGAAAGGTGGAGATTGCAGTGAGCTGAGATCACGCCACTGCACTCTAGCCTGGGTGACAGAGCGAGACTCTGTCTCAAAAATAAAAATAAAAATAAAATCAGTATGAAAAGGCAAGAAGAGTAATGAAGGGAGGAGTAACGCTAATCAATTTTAAGACTTACTATAAAGCTACAGTAATTACAGCATAGACAGCCACAAAGATCAATGAACCAGAATAGAAAGTCCAGAAATAGACACACAAGAATGTGGCCAAATTGACTTTTGACAAAAGTGCAAATGCAATAGAGAAAGGATAGTCTTTTCAAAAAATAGTGCTGAAAGAACTGGATATCCAAATGAAATAATAAAAACCTTGACTTAAAACCTGACACGTTATAAAAAATTAACAAAATGGATTAGAGATCTAAATGTAAAACATATAAAGAAACCCAGGAGAAAATCTTCAAAACCTGATGTTAAACGAAGAATTATTAGACATGACACTAAAAGCAACATCCATTAAAGAAAAATACAGATAAACTAGCTTCATCAAAATTAAACACTTTTGCTCTTCGACGTATTAAGAGAATGAGGAAACAAGACAAGGTAGAAACTAAAAGAAAATATCTGCAAACCACATATCTGACAAGACGTCATACCTAGAACCCTCAACACATCATTAGCCATTAGGAAAATGCAAATTAAAGCCACAATGAGGTATAGCTACACATCTCTCAGAAAGAAAAAAACAAAAAAGAGTGACAATACCAAACACCAACAAGAATGCAGGTAAATGACCTCTTAAATATTGCTGGTAAAAATGTAAAATGGAAGAGCCACTCAAAAACAGCTGACAGTTTCTTTAAAAACAAAACATAAACTTAACTATATGACCCATCGATCCTACTCCTAGGTACCTGTCCTAAAGAAAGCAAAACTTACGTTCACATAAAACCCTGAACATGAATACTGACAGCATCTACATTTACAATTACTAAAAACTGAAATCAACCCAATTATCTTGAATGGAAAACCAACATGGCACATTCATGCAATAAACTACTAATTGGTCACAGAATGCAACGAACTGTTGATACAGGAAACAACTTGGATGAATCTCAAAATCATGAGAGAAATTTCTGAGGGTGATGTAAATGTTCCCTATCCTAATTGCAGTAATCACATGAATCTATACACATACTGAAATTCACAGAACTATACACAGGAAGAAAAACTTAATATTAGGTGTACTTTTTAAAACTAAATTTTAAAAGAAAAAGGAGATAGGTAGTAACACTCCTCATACATACCAAGACTACGAGTTTGCTTCTTTCACAGATTCCAGGGAGGTAAGGATAAGGTGGCATTCCTTCACCCTTCAGACAAGAACTCACCCACTGATAAATGCTTGGTGGCTCAGAAGTAAAAAATGATGGATGATGCATAAATCCTGTTTGACCTTTAAAATTAGATAAATATTCAAAAAGACACAAAAATACATTAAGACAACATTATTTTATTTTAAACAGAAGATGATCAACAGTTACCTGTCATTCTGAAACAACTAGAATAATATTTTTCCAGCCGGGTGCGGTGGCTCACGCCTGTAATCCCAGTATTTTGGGAGGCCAAGGCAGGTGGATCACAAGGTCAGGAGTTAAGAGAACAGCCTGGCCAACATGGTGAAACCCCGTCTCTACTAAAAATACAAAAAAAAATTAGCTGGGCCCGGTGGTGCACACCTGTAGTCCCAGCTACTTGGGAGGCTGAGGCAGAAGAATCGCTTGAACCCCGGAGGTGGAGGTTGCAGTGAGCCGAGATCATGCCTGGGAGACAGAGAGAGACTCTGTCTCAACAACAACAAAAAAAAAACAGAATAATATTTTTCCATATTCTCCAAAATGCTTCATATTTTCTGCCACAGTAAAAAAGTGACTATGTTATTAAACACAGAATTTAAATGACTTATATTTTTATCTCATCCTGGATGGAAATTTAGCAAACTCTTGTTCCCAAGGCATATAAAGAATCTAACTAAAGGCTGGGTGCGGTGGCTAACACCTGTAATCCCAGTCCTTTCAGAGGCTGAGACAGGTGAATCACTTGAGGTCAGGAGTTCAAGGCCAGCCAGGCCAACATGGTGAAACCCCATCACTACTAAAAATACAAAAATTAGCCAGGCGTGGTGGCATAAACCTGTAATCCCAGGTACTTGGGAGGCTGAGGCAGGAGACTTGCTTGAGCCTGGAAGGCAGAGGATGCGGTGAGCCGAGATCATACCACTGTACTCCCATCTGGGCAACAGAGTGTGACTCTGTCTCCAAAAAAAAAAAAAAAAAAAGGAATCTAACCAAAATTTTTGTCCTAACCCTAAAGGTGAAAAAAAACAAAAGAATCATCCAGGATTCAACTCTGTTCCAACAACTAGGCCCCAACGTTCAGTACCTTTAGCTCAGGGTCTAGGATGGTATAGTGGTGATGGAAATGTTCTGTGTCTGTATCTGCACTGTCCAGTATGGTAGCACTAGCCCCATGTGGCTACTGAGTTCTCAAAATGCAGCTAGTGCACTGAGGAAATACATGCTTTATTTAATTTAAGTAACATATGGTTAGTGGTACTAACTGGACAGTACGAGTCTAAGTTAAAAGCATCCTTGGTGGCCAGACACGGTGGCTCACACCTGTAATCCCAGCACTTTGGGAGGCCGAGGTGGGCAGATCACGAGGTCAGGAGATCGAGACCATCCTGGCTAACACAGTGAAACCCCGTCTCTACTAAAAATGCAAAAAAATGAGCCAGGGGTGGTGGCGGGTGCCTGCAGTCCCAGCTACTCAGGAGGCTGAGGCAGGATAATGGCGTGAACCCGAGAGGCAGAGATTGCAGTGAGCCGAGATCGCACCACTGCACTCCAGCCTGGGCGCCAGAGCGAGACTCCGTCTCAAAAAAAAAAAAAGAAAAAGAAAGCATCCTTGACACTGAAAGCTCTTTCTAAGTTTTTGCAAGTCAGAACCTTAGGGATGGGTAAAATTTTCCCCATACACTGAAGATATTATGGCTTACTATGTGTCAGAAAACAAGCACTACAAACTAAAATCTGCCTGGTGGAAAGACATTGTCCCTGACTTAGAAGCTAATGGTAAGAAATACATCCTCTGCTATTCATTGAGAAAGATACAAGGAAATGTCACTGCACTGTATAGAAAATCTTTAAAAGCACAACCACTTACCTGGATCAATTGTGCACACTTGTCCAGTAGTTCTGACAAGTGTTGGGTAGTCTCTATAGTAATGATCTACATAAGGTCCCAATTTTAAGTCCCTAAAACAGTAAGAGCATGTAAAAAAGAAGGTATTACAGCACTTTCTCCCAACAGAGTTGGAAGGACTCATTACTTGAATCTTTCAATTTAAAAACTTACTTATGAGAAAGAAGATAACCAAATCTAGAGTCTCTTTATTGTATTTTTGGACTTTAAAGTGCCCAGTGTGACAAATGCAACCCAATCTCTTCTTGCCAGTTAAATTTTGTGGAAGTAAAACTACAGTAAAAGCACCGTGATCTAGCTCTTCCTCTGCTATTTACTAGCTGTGTGACCTTCTATAAGTCATGTTTATAAAACTCAGTATTTTCTTCTAGAAAATGGGGCAATACCAGCTAACTTACTCTGAAATTTTAAAGATTAAATAAGATAAAATATGTTAAAAAAAAAAAAACTGATAAAATATAAAACAACATACACATTACTTATTTCAGAGAGCCATGATTATGGTTTGTAAATTAATTACAAAAGAATTTTCATGATAGTAATGACATCCTAAGAGATATTTACCATTGATTAAAATTGCCATGTCTCAGGAATGAATTTCAAGATCTCAAAAAAGATAACAGAAATTAGAAAACGTACTATGTCTTAACTCAGAGGTTGACATTTCAATTCAAATTCAACTTCTTTATCACCAAAGGTCACAAAGGTCAAACAACGCATAAATATGACCCTAGAATTCTGAGCCATACACAAGGTGCTTCAAAGCTGTTGAAAAGTGTTGAAACATATTATTCTGTGGATCTACTATGAATGCCTCAAAGACAGGGACAACCTCAGATTGCAGCAAAGATAGCGTAACAAAATGAGTCTGCAACTATCAAACACTCATATCCCTGGAAACAAATTTAGGCAAATTTCCTCATCACTAAAATAGGAAACTTACCTTGTTTGAGACTTTATATGTAAATTATGATTTTGTCAACTATAAAGCACAATTTGAATGTGGATATTAATACAAAACAGCAGATGTTATTCTAGAACTCCCACCACAGTATAGCCAGCCATCCTGTCAAAACGAAAATCTGAGCAGGTCATCTCCATTTTCTCGTGACCTTCCACTAATCTCAGGACAGAGACTAAAAGTCCCTGCATGGCTCACAGGCCCTTATAACACCAGTATTTTCAAACAACTCTGTGGTTTACAGGAGATGCCCTAGTTTTCTGAGAAGGTAGATTTCAGAAACTTATTTACAAGGTCCCCATGTGATATCATGGAAAAGACAGTCATCTAAGGACTTCCTGGCAGTTTCTAAGCTACAAACAAATTTACCTTGCCAACTGAACAAGAAGGTCAACAAGTGAACAAATTCCTTCTCCCATTAGAGTATTCAACTTAAGCTCCTCATACACAAGGTGAAGAACGAAAAAAATTGCAGGTATGTGAGTAAAGAGAAGTGTAGAAGAATCCAGACTGAGATTCTGTGAAAAATCCTCATCCTTCATCTGTGAAGCTTCTGAAGGACTCAAACATAAAGATCTGTTCAAAAGATGAGACTCAACATTCTGGTGGTAGTCTGAATTTAGTAAATATTCCCAGTCCTGAGAAGAATAAAAAGAATATTAATTTTTTTAAATAAAACCTCCTTATAGTATCACTAGAAAAGAAAATTAATAATTAATTCACTTAAAACAATTCAAGTTTCATTTTCACATTAAGCTGATCTAAGAGTATATTAAAAAAAAAAAAAAAGACAATGCTAAGAATGAAGTAACTATAAAATAGCAAGCAACTTCCAGATGCCAATTATAAATGTTACGGCAAGCCACCTTTAAAACACATTAAAAAAAAATCTTACCATGCCCTTTTAGGAAAGACATTGGGAGAAGAATTATACTATTTAGGTAGAGATTGAGAGAGAAAATTTAAGATTATCTCAGGCTAGGTTTTATAGGGAAAGTAGATGGCAGGTTAGTGGGCCACTACACTGAACTGTGTTTTGGTAAAAGGGAAGGTCCACCTGCATTCAGCTGATATATTCATCTTTCCACATGTATAAGATGCCAGGGCTAGTAATATAATCTAATAATCAACTGGTTTTTATATTCAGACTGATTAGACTACATTTTCCAAATATTCAGTCTATTTTGGTTCTACTTGTGATTTACTGCATTTGGTTCAGAGAATGTGGTTTATGCTATTTCCAGATCTTGGAACTTACTGGTGTTTTTATAAGGCTTAATATAGTGTGTTATTCTAACTTAAAAATTCTTGGACTGGATACAGAAAGAACTAACCATAAAAGAAAAAACTAATAAATTGGATAACTAAAATAAAAAATTCCACTCATCAAAGACAATGTTAAAGCCACATTCTAAGGGAAAATACGGTCAAGAACTCATGTCTAGAACAGGAAAGAACTTCAACAGCTTACATATTTTTTAAAATCTAATTTAAAAGTAGGTAAAGATTTGAACAGAAACTTCACAAAAAGATACATAAGTAGCTAATGAGCACATGAAAGAATGTTTAACATCCTCCTACCTCAGCCTCCCAGTAGCTAGGACTACAGGTATACGCCATCATGCCTGCCTAATTTTTAAATTGTTTTGGTAGAGAACTGGTCTTACTATAATCTGTTGTCCAGGCTGGTCTCAAACTCCTGGGCTGAAGCAGTCCTCCTGCCCCTATCCCTCAAAGTGTTGCGATTACAGGCATGAATTTTAATTTAAAAGAAATTAAATCAAAAGAAATTAAAATTACAGATGTGAATTTTAATTTAAAAGAAATTAAATTAAAATTAACACCCGTAATCGCAGCACTTTGGGAGATAGAGGCAGGAGGACTGTTGAAGCCCAGGAGTTTGAGACCAGCCCGGGGAACATATTATGGTAAGACCTTGTCTCTACCAAAAAAATTTAAAAATTAGCCAGGCATGATGGTGCATACCGGTAGTCCTAGCTACTCGGAGGCTGAGGTAGAAGGATGGCTTGAGCCTAGGAGTTCGAGATTCAGTCAGCTACAATAGCATAACTGCAGTCCAGCCAACAAAGTGAGACCCTGTCTCAAAAAAGAAAGAAAAGAAAAGAAAGAAAGAAAGCGAAAAGAAAGAAAAGAAGCGAAAAGAAAGGAAGGAAGGAAGGAAGGAAGGA